AAAAAGATCATTTTAGATAATGCTCTTAATTTGAATAATAAAATGATGACTGGTGTCGGTGCTTAATTTAAAATCAAACACCATAAATCTGCCTTATCATCCAAAGATGAATGTGGCAGTTGAAATGGCCAATAAGAACATAAAGAGAATTATTAAAAAGATGATAAATGTGTATAAAGATTGGCATGAAAAGTTATAATTTGCATTACATGCTTATCAAACTTCGATTTGCACATCTACAGAAGCTACACTATTTTTATTGGTATATGGGATAGAGGTAGTGTTGCCCATTGAAGTTTAAATTCCTTCTTTACGTGTTCTCATGAAAGTTGAGTTAAAAGAAGCTGAGTGGGTTCACACTCGATATAAACAATTGAATCTCATTGAAGAAAAGAGATTACCTGCACTTTGCCATGACCAACTATATCAAAGAAGAATGATGCGAGCTCATGACAAGAAAGTTCACCCATGATAATTTCAATAGGGAGAATTAGCATTAAAGAAGATTCTTCCTAACCAACAGGATCCTCGAGAAAAATGGACTCTTAATTAGGAAGGACCATATGTGATGAAAAAAGCTTTTTCTAGTGGGACACTGATTTTGGCAAGAATGAATGGAGATGATATGCCAAATCTAGTTAATGTTGATGCAATAAAAAAGAATTATGCTTAAAAAAATAAAAAAAGTAAAATGAGTTAAAAAGATATCTGAGTTAAAAACTTGAAAGGTTAGCTTAGATAAAAATAAAAAGGATAGTGAATGGAATGGCTTAATTCTCAATATGTGCTAGAAGATCTCATTGGTTTTAGGCTGCTTGGTTTGCTGCATTTTCAAAAAAGTCAAGGGCACCAATAAGAAGTTTTCAAAAAAGAATCCATGATGAATTAGTTCATGATGATCTAAATATTTGTTATATGATTACTTGTTGTCCTTGTTTTATCCTTTTTTATAATGCATAAAACACTTCTCCCTTTTACCAAAATAAAATACCATTTTGTTTATCCTTTCCTTTGTCCCTCTCATTAAAAAGAGAAATGTGCAATGTGTTATAATTGTTTAAAATTCAAAAGATGATGAAAGAATAACAATTACCATAAAAGACACAATTATTTTGAAAGAGATTTAAAATAATGAGCAAAATAGCAGGAAACAAAGGTTAATGAAAAAAATGGCCTATAGGTCATAAAGTGGTTGACATGGAATATGGGATATAAAGAAAAATCTTTTTTAGCGAAACTTAATCAAATGTGAGAATGCATAGGATTCAAGAGAAGAAGAAAGGAAACAAACCTTAAGAAATTTTGAAGATAAAAGGAAAATGACAATGAAAAAAAAGAAAAAAAAAGATGGTTTTTTTCATTTGCATAATAAGTGCATTTACATCATGATCATCATTTATTGCATGGCATTGCAAATACATGAAAATGTCATTCACGCATTCATGTGACACGTCATATGTATCAGTCTAGGATAATCTAAGACCAATAAAAAAAAAGTCAAAAGCAAGAAAGATATGAACCCTCTATTCAGAGAAATCTTTCAAATACCATTGCCTTTCAGATTTTTAAATTTAAAGTTCGTTGCCTTTGGTCAGAGGAACTTTTTTAATATTTAAAGTTTGTTACCTCTAGTCAGAGGAGCATTTTGAATTTAAAGTTTATTACCTTTGATCAGAGGAGCTTTTTAATTTTAAGAGTCTCTGGTCAAAAGACTCTATCAAAATTAGGCATGATTTGTAAGATCAAATGGCATAATCTATAAGTCCTCTCAAATCTTTAATTTAAAGTTTGTTGCCTTTGGTTAAAAGAGTCATTTACAATTCGTTGCTTTTGGTGAGAGGAGCCTTTTAACATTTAAAGTTTGTTACCTTTGGTTAATGAGCCTTTTGGATTTAAAGTTCGTTGCCTCAAGTTATAAGAGCCTTTGAAATTTAAAGTTTGTTGCCTTTGATTAAAGGAGCTTTTTGGTTTTAAAGTTCATTGTCTTTGGTTAGAAGAGCTTTTTACTATTTAAAGTTTATTATCTCTGGTGAGAAGAACCTTTGAAATTTAAAGTTTATTGCCTTTGGTTAAAGGAGTTTTTTAGATTTAAAGTTCATTGCCACTGGTCAAAAGAGCCTTTTAATATTTAAAGTTTGTTGCTTTTGGTTAAAAGAGCTTTTGGAATTTAAAGTTTGTTAGCTTTGGTTAAATGAGTTTTTTGAATTTAAAGTTTGTTGCCTTTGGTTAAAGGAGCTCTTTGGATTTAAAGTTTGTTACCTCTGATGAGAGGAGCTTTTTAAATTTAAAGTTTTATAGCCTCTGTTTAGAGGAGCCTTTCAAATTTTCACTCAAAAAAAATTTTTATGTTCAATGTTTCATTTTTTGTATGTGTTTACCTAAACAAAATTGGTGTTTTTTTATTTTTACTTTATTCTTGATTTTTAGCAATAAGCAAAGAGGGGCAGTTGTAGGTGCCGATTTTCTTCTTCTTTTATTATTATTATTATTATTATTATTCTTTTTCTTCATCTTCTTCTTTAAAACAAAAGGAAAAAAAAGTCAAAAGAAAAAGTAAAAAAAAAATAAAAGTCTTTGATTTCAACTTTGGCAGTCGAAATCAAGCTGTCAAAGTAGTTCAAATTTCTTCTTAACAATACCTAACATGGCAGTATGATATCCGGTGACCAAAAGTCACCGGATAAACACCCAAATTTTTCACAAGAAAATCTAAGAAAATCTAGGATTTGATTTCCTAGAAGTTCTATAAGTAGAGCTAAGTTATACAAGAAGATAGAAGGAAAAGAAAAGGAATACTATCAACGAAAAAAAGATCACAGTCCTCTTTGAGAAACCAGCAGTAAACAAAATTTTTTTTTTCTCAAAAATAAAATTTTAGATCTAAGAGGTTAGAGATTTTTTTTGAAAAATCTGGGTTTGAGGGAGTGTTTAGAAAACAAAAAGGATCATTGGGGGGAATTTTTATGAATTTTTGAAAATTTTTTTTAGGTTATCAAAAACTGAAAATGTTTTAAATTTTTAGCGACCATTGAATTTTTCGACACCGGAATCTGGAAAAATTTAAAATTTTCAATCATCAGAATTTGAGATCTTTGAATTTTTTGATACCGTTGAAGATTCCAGCCATTGGTGCATAGTGGCGATTGGCCGAAAACTGGGTTTTACGGTGGTCGACTGAAGGGTTGAATTTCTAGAGAGAGAGGCTCTTAGTTAGAGAGAGGGGAAAGAAAAAAAAACAGAAACAGACCTTTTATAGGTCCTTCAAAACGACATCATTTTGGATGTCTGAACTGAGTTCGACTCGCGCAGGATCCCTGCGCTGACCTGCGAGCCAACCCGACCCATTTCGTAGGTTTTCTTTTTTTTTTTTTCTATTTTGATTTTATTTATTTTGTATTTATTTTTATGTTGATTTTTTATTTTTTTTCATGATATTATTGTTATTATTATTATTGTTATTTTATATTAATAATTCTTAAAATAAAAATAAAACTGAAATAAAATAAGGACTTAAAAATATAATATAAAAAAATTAATAATAATTTTTTAATAAAAATAAAATTTTATTACAAGCAAAAATATTATTTAAATTTCACCAAGGTGTTGTGATAATTTAAAAAATAATTTTTGCTAAAAAATAATAAATTATAAAAAATGATAAATAAAATAAAAATAAATTGTTTAAATGAATCTTTTAAATATAATTTTTAAAGAAAGCTAAAAGAGTTTAGTTTCTTTAATTATTACAAGTAAAAATAATTTTTTCGGATTTCACCATAAAGTTGGCATAATCCAAAATTATTTTTACTAAAATAAAGATTGATTTAGACAATGTAAAACAATAATAAAAATGAAAATAAAAAAACTAACAATTGATATTTTAAATTAAAAAAAATTGAAAGAGTTCGATTTTTTTTAATATGAGCAAGATATAAATATTTAGATTTCTTCGATGAGTCGGGATAATCTAATTTTTTTATAATAAAAATAATTAATAAATAATAAAAAGTTTTTTCCTTTAATTTAAAAAAATGATTTTATTTAGGATCTTATCAAAATGTTGAGATGATCCTAAAACTTGTTCAAAACTTTTAGGATTTCACCGAAGAGTCGGGATAATCTTAAAACTTATTTAATAAATTTTAGGAACTCACCAGAGAGTCGAGATGTTCCTAATATCATTTTCGAAACAAATAAATAAAATATCTTATGATGAGATTTCAAGAATTTTGTAAATGGTCAATTTTCTCGAAATATTTTCTAAATAGTGATTCTCTATAAATTTCGTCAAAGTGTTGGGGATTTTATAAAATATAAAAAAAATAATAATACTAATTTTACAAAAAAATATATTTTTAAATAAATTTCAGGAAATTAAGCTTAAATAAAAAAGACTCCGTTATCAAAATTATAGGATTATGTATGTTAATTGGTACCATTCTTTGAACAGACGACGTGAGGGTGCTAATATCTTCCTCACTTGTAACTATACTCCCAAACTTAATTTTGATTTCGCAGACCTAAACTTATTTTAGTAAGTTTTAATTAATTTTAAAAATTTTTACTAAAAGATGATATTTTGGGTGGCCAATCATATTCTATAAAAAGATTAGTGGTAACTCTGAAAATTTTCACCAAGTCTAACGATCAAATCCCCTGGACGAAAAATCATTATGACAAAGTTTATGAAAATGGCTGTGTTATTCATCCTGTACACTGTATATTTATACATCAAGAATTGCTGAGAATAAATACAAACAGAAAGTGATTGTGGGGGCTATATTTGGTGAATAATTATTCTTCTAATTTGTGTGATGATCTCATGAAATGCTGCTGAAAGTCTTGCAAAGATTGTGGAGAGATCTTAGGAAAAATCTTTGGTGTTATCAGCTGTTATCTTATCACACATGACTTACCAAGTCAAATGGTTAGCGGGTGCAACACTTCATTGTTGACAGGAGATAAAACCAGAGTCGCAAAATTCCTACATTGCACTTTGTTCTTGTTGATGAACCAAGCACTCTCAAATCAAGTACAAACTAATCTCAGTTCAGAACTTTTCTGGCTTGATGATGAAGCAATCAAGCAAGCATTTGGAACTTTCTAGCTCTCTTTTCTTTGTTTACCTTGCCTTTATTCTCCTAGCATTCTTTAACCTGCAAGGTCCTAAGTTGCTTGGTTCAGCAATCCCTGTGGTTAACGGAAATGAGACAGATCGACGAGCTTTATTCGAGTTCAAGGCCAAGATAATTGATGATCATTTCGGGGTTATGCGCTCGTGGAACAATAGTAACCACTTCTGCCAGTGGTATGGTGTTGCATGCGGTCGCAGACATCAGAGAGTCACCATGTTGGACTTGGGATCCCTAAAGCTCGTGGGTTCTATATCACCATTTATTGGAAATTTGAGCTTTCTTAGGCTGTTAAACCTTGAAAATAACAGTTTCAACCAAGCAATTCCTCAAGAAATTGGCCGTTTGCAAAGATTGCGTGAATTAATACTGCAAAACAACACCCTAAGTGGTGAAATTCCTTCCAATTTGTCTAGATGTTCTCGGCTTGCATCAGTTAATTTTCGAGGCAACCTGCTAACTGGAGAAATACCAGGTGCGCTTAGTAAGTTGTCAAAACTAACATGGTTTAGTTTTAAAAGAAATAATTTAAGAGGGAGTATCCCGACTTCCATGGGGAACTTATCCTCTCTGGTGTACATGAATCTGGGTGGAAATATATTGAGCGGTGTTATACCTGAAGCTCTTGGCAAACTGACAAAACTTGAAGTTTTCTTTGCGGCGGATAATAGAATTTCTGGGGTTATCCCTGCCTCAATTTTCAATCTCTCTAGTATTAGAGTTCTTCATATGAACTTAAACCGGATACAAGGTAGTCTTCCATCGGACTTGGGAATCAGTATGCCACATATTGAAATCCTTTCTGTCGCATTTAATCAACTGGTTGGACCATTCCCTGTTTCAATATCCAATGCCTCAAACCTCGTACAGCTTTTTGTTGCGGAAAACAAACTTAGTGGAAACTTGCCTTCATTTGAAAAGCTCGATAAACTATCACGAATTGTAATCAGTAACAACCTTCTTGGAAGTACGATAGCAACTGATCTGAACTTTCTCTGCACTTTAACCAATGCTTCCAGACTAGAGCTGCTATGGATAAACGAAAACAACTTTGGAGGGGAATTACCAGAGTGCGTAAGCAATTTATCTCACAATCTGCTATCTTTAAACGTGCAACTGAATAAACTATTGGGAAGAATTCCAGCTGGGATTGGAAATCTCATCAACTTGGAGCTACTAGCGGCATCAGAAAATCAATTATCAGGTTCTATTCCCCCTGGCATCGGGAGGCTTCAAAAGCTAGGGGTATTTTATGCATCTCGAAATTCACTCTCGGGGGTTCTTCCCCCTTCTTTTGGAAACTTGACAATGTTAACAAAACTTGCTCTGAGTGGTAACAATCTTCAGGGCAACATTCCTTCAAGTCTAGGTAAGTGTGAGAATTTGATTGAATTATACCTTTATAATAACAACCTTAGTGGTTCCATACCCCCTGAAGTAATTGGTCTCTCATCCTTGTCCCTTACCCTAGATTTGTCTTCAAACTATTTAACTGGTGTGCTTCCTGTTGAAGTAGAAAATCTGAAAAATCTAGGTGAATTGCGTGTTTCTCAAAATAGCTTATCAGGTGTGCTTCCAACAAATCTTGGTAGCTGTGTAAAACTGGAGAGACTGTTCTTGGATGGCAATATGTTCCAAGGGCCCATTCCTTCATCTTTGAGTTCATTGAAAGGTCTTATAGAATTAGATATATCTAGCAATAATCTGTCGGGTGAAATTCCAAAATTTCTTGTGAGCTTTGGGTCATTACTATATTTAAATATTTCTTTCAATAATTTTGAGGGTATGATACCAATTAAAGGAGTCTTTAAGAATGCAAGTGCTATATTCGTTGAGGGAAACAGTAAGCTTTGTGGAGGCACCCCTGAGTTACGGTTGCCCAGATGTAACTCCAAAACATCCATCAAGAGATCAACCGATACTCTAAAATTGAAATTTGCGATTCTTTTTTCAATTTTTGGAGTGATTTTGGTAGTCTCTTGTCCCTTTATTTTGTGGTTTAGAAGGAAAAGAGAGCAGCCAAAGGCAACTTGTGCAGAAAATCCACTTTCAATGTTATCAATGTCATACCAAAGCATTTTAAAGGCAACTGGTGGATTATCGCCGGCAACTTTGGTTGGTTTTGGTAGCTTTGGTTCGGTATACAAAGGAATTTTGGAAGAGAGTGGAGTAGTTATTGCCGTTAAGGTGCTTAATCTTCTAAGTCATGGAGCTTCCAGGAGTTTCATGGCTGAATGTGAGGCTTTGAAGAACATCAGGCATCGCAATCTTGTCAAAGTATTAACAGCAATTTCAGGGGCCGATTATCAAGGGAATGATTTTAAAGCATTGGTTTATGAGTTCATGCAAAATGGGAGCTTGGAAGATTGGCTCCATCCTTCTGTTGGGATGAATGAGGTACAGGAGGCACCAAAAAGCTTAAAATTTTTTCAGAGATTGAATGTGGCAGTTGATGTTGGTTGTGCATTGGAGTATCTTCATCATCATTGCGAAACACCTATCGTTCACTGTGACCTCAAACCAAGCAATGTTCTACTTGATGATGAAATGGTTGGCCATGTTGGTGATTTTGGACTAGCAAAATTCATTGCATCAGACACGCAAAATAACACTTCAAGCCTGTCAAGCTCCCTTGGGTTAAGAGGAACAGTTGGTTACGCTCCTCCAGGTAAGTAGACTACCATATATTTTGTATATGCATAGTTTTCATCAATATGTTATTGAGTTTAACATGTTAAGAGCTTTGATTTGAGAAAGCTATTTGCACTTGTGTAAAAATTGTTGCTTTTATGTGTGGCTAATGAATTGCAGAATATGGCTTGGGAAGTGATGTGACAACATATGGTGATGTGTACAGCTATGGCATTCTTTTGCTGGAGATGTTTACAGGGAAAAGACCCACCGGTGAAATGTTTACAGAGAATCTGAACCTCCATAACTTTGTTAAAACAGCTTTGCCAGATCGAGTAGCTGAGATTACAGATCCCATTCTTCTTCAAGAAAGTTTCAATGAGAGCAGCCAAAACGATAACAGACTTCTTTGGAGCATGAATTCTATATTCGAAATTGGAGTTGCCTGTTCTTTTGAATTGCCAACTGAACAAATGAACATGGCTAATGTTGTTGCTAAGCTTTGTTTTATAAGAGACAATCTGCTTCCAACTCGATCATTAAGAAGAAGAGGTACTAATATTATTTTATCTGAAGTAATTTAAACATTTTTGTCAAAACCTTACTTCCTTTATGACCTATTTGATGGTTTAATATTTCCTTCAGCTGCAGGTACTGCTTGATGGCTTTTCTTCCATTCTTCTGTTTGGTGAACTGAAGGATCAAATCTGTAAGAATATTGGATTTAGTTTAAGTTTTTAATCTGGTGTCTACATTTCATGAATAAAATTTTTACATTTAGTTGTAATTTTTATTTTAATATTTGAGACTGTCAGAAACCGAATGTGATTACTGTAACTAAGAGTCTAGCACTCTTTTATTTTATATATCAAGAATAATATACTTTTCTAGTGCTTATTGCTTGACATTCTTTGATTTAGGATGAGATTATGTCTAAATTTACGCGGTATTTCAGCTATATTTAATTCTCAGACAAATGAATTTTAAGAAGCTACTGCCTTAGTCATTGTTCTAGAGTGGCTTTCCATGAAGGGGATTGGCCCGTTGACCACGCAGAAACAAAAATCTTTCTAGGGGATTTGAAAATAATTGTAGTGTTATTTTCTTATACCACTGTTATTTATTTCATTTCTTAGTCGTGCATTTGAAAATGGGTCGCAAAACGGTTTTATATTTCTAAAACCTTCTTTAATAAAGTGATGAAATTGGACAAATATGAACTTATGATAACACTAACTCATGATTTAAAGTCAAATATCTTTTCCATTATTTGTAAAGTTAGGATGAAATCTATTTTTTCCTGATAGAATTATCGTTGGATCCTCAGTTTTTAACTCAATTTGTCACAATTTTTGTTTGTAAACTTAGGACATCAGTCTATCACTAGCAATAAAGAATCTTATTACACCAAAGATCTTAATATAATTTATTCACGTTAATTTATGTAAGATTATAATCAGCACATTCAAAATTTAAAACCTTTTGGTGCTTCATGGGACAATAAGCATTGTCTCTAGCGTTTACTTCAGGGTCGCCTTTACGTCATTTCTCATCACTGTCAACAGATGTCTGCCATTGAATATATGACACAATGCCGTCCAAATGGCTTCTTCACTCTTGTTTTTGGTAGCACTTTTTTTAAGTGATGAACTTTCGTAAATTTGAAGTTGGATCTTCCTTATTTGTAATTCTCTTTCCTTTATATATTCGAACAAAGTTTAATCTCTTTTGTACAAAAAAAATTCTCAATTTCATTTGAAGTAATCAATGCATATTAAAATTAATTTAACAATAACAATAACAAATTAAGCTTTTTACCCTATAATTTTAGGATCGATTATATAAAACACTAAAAAATAAGAATCACATTAGTTTGTAATTTTGACTCTTTTGGGTCTCTCATTTTTATTAAAAATAAATTTTTTATTTAGTTTCTTAATCTTCATATAATTTTTTATTATTTTATTCACGTCTTTTATGATTTATTTTTAAAAATTTTGATCTCTTCCAAATTTAGAAATTTATTTTTTCTAATTGGAATGCACATTAAATTAATTTATGATTGGAATTTTTAATGATTTTAAATTAAATAATTAAGAAGATAATTAATGAAAAATAATTAAAAATAAAATAATAATGTAAATCCTAGATTTATTTGAAAGATACATGTGTTAGTTTATAAGTAATCATCCATTTACATCAATATAAATTTTATATATTTTTATTTTTATATCAAAATTAAATTCTTAATCAATTTGAATCAAAATAATATTTTTAATTTTAGTATAAAATTACACTGATATAAAGAGAAATATCTCTATTACTTTTTAATCACGAGCATTTCCCTCTACCAAACCACAATCTCGTCCTAAAGAAAGTGGTCAAGTCTTTAGTCTTAAAACCATATTCAAACTGATATAATGTGTGATTACAACAAAAGATGACTGACTCAATCCTTCATCTCAGGATTTTATTTTTGTCATTTTTTATTTCACTATACATTGATTAAGAATTAATCATTAATGTTTTTAATACAAGAAATATATAATTAATATATTTTTCTTTCAAATATTTGGATATATTTGTTGCTATTCATACATCATATAAATTAATACAATTGAAACATGGAAGTTGTGGAAAAGTGTAACAAAGCTAGCTTCGTTTTTTCTTTGGTTCAATGGTTTTGTTGTCATGTGTGGTTCCATCCTTCGTTGATTGACAAAAGGAATTTTAAATCAGATTTGCCAAATTTTCTGTTGAATTTTATTCTAGAGGAATGAAATACTTCAACAACTTGCTTCATGGGACAATCAGCATTGTCTCCAGCGTTTACTTCATTGGGTATCTATAAAAACTCTATAATATTTATAGTTCATTAGATCTGCATTTCGTTGAGGTATTATTTTTTAAAATTATGTTTTAAAAATAAGACAAATAAAATTTTTATATCAAAATTTAATGAATGATAACATATAGATATATGTAAATGTATTTATTTTTAATATAAATTATAATTTAATTATATATAATGTAGTTTTTTTAATTAAATAAATATATTAAATAATATTTTTATTAATATATATAAACATAAATAAAATAATAATTAAATATATTCTTTTATATATCTTAGGATAGTTAGGTAGAGCATCCCAAACCCAATACCACCTTGATCCAAATTATTAAAAAAAATAAAACTTAACCTAATTCTTTTTATAAAAAATTGCATTAATTGTATTATGACGAATCAAAACCCATTAAAAATATATGTTGTTTTGTCATTCTTACATTTATTGATTTTTTTTTACAAAAACAAATTTTTAAAAACAAAGAAAATGACAAAAAAGCTAAATAGGATAATATATAAATTTATTAAATTAAAGTATTAAATAAATTTTTTTACCAAAATATATATTTAATATAAAATTATATAAATAATAAATATATATTTTATATATATCAATGCCAAGATATAACACTTAAAACCTTACTTTTATTGAATTCCCATTGTGATCTTTAACTAATTATGTACTTCAACATAATTATCAGGAGTTCGGAGTAAGTGCTATAGACTGTTTCTAATACTTAGCGGCTTGATCTAACCAAGCCTTCGCTATTTCAGAATCCACCTGTCTGGCCTGTTCTCCCCGGTTGGAATAGACAAGTCAATTCCTTTCTTAAGAGCCATACATTTAAAAAAAAAATCAACCCAAATTATCTTGAATTAAAAGAAAGCACATCCAATGGATTGAGACGAATGAAAACCCACCATATATTAGTTATTTTATTATCTTTATCTTAATTAAATTTTTTATTATGAAATTTATCCAATAAAAAAATTAAAAAATTTAAAAAACAAAGAAAAAAAATAAAAAAAACAAAAACTTTAAAAAATAAACAAAAAAGAAAGGAGGTGCCATGTGGACATCCGAGATAGAGTAAAACACATTAAAATCATTTCCAACCTGACCGTATTTTTTTTTTTTTAAATCTCAATTTGATCTCTATTTTTTTAAGCATTATATTAGATCATTGCGAATAAAAACCAATCGAATATGGATTATTTGATAATCCTTACCTCAATTGATTTTTTATAAAATTTATTTAATAAAAAATTAAAATACAAAATAAAATAGAAAAATAAAAAAAAGAATGGAGACAAGATGAGATGCCACGTGGACATACTCTCCTTCCCCATTCTCTACACAATTACTTAAGTATAATCTTATTTACTTGGTTTATCTTTAAATGAATGAACAAAATGAATATTTTAGTTTTACTTTATGCTAAAAAAGATCTCATTACAAGAAAAATGAGAGAATTATGTATATATATAGACACACGCACACAAGAAATTGTTGCTCTTATTTGTGACAAATGAATTGCAGAATATGGCTTGGGAAGTAATGTGACAACATATGGTGATGTGGACAGCTATGGCATTCTTTTGCTAGAGATGTTTACAGGGAAAAGACCCACTGATGAAATGTTTAAAGAGAATCAGAACCTTCATAACTTTGTTAAAACAGCTTTGCCAGATCGAGTAGCTGAGATTACAGATCCCATTCTTCTTCAAGAAAGTTTCAACGAGAGCAGCCAAAACAAAAACAGACTTCTTTGGAGCTTGAATTCTACATTTGAAATTGGAGTTGCCTGTTCTTTTGAATTGTCAATTGAACGAATGAACATGGCTAATGTTGTTGCTAAGCTTTGTTTTATAAGAGACAATCTGCTTCCAACTCGATCATTAAGAACAAGAAGTACTGATATTATTTTATCTGAAGTAATTTAAACATTTTTATCAAAATCTTACATCCTTTATGACCTGTTTTGAAGGTTTAATTATTTCCTTCAGCTGCAGGTACTGCTTGATGGCTTTTCTTCACATTCTCTTGTTTTGTGAACTGAAGGATCAAATCTGTAAGAATATTGGATTTAGTTTAAGTTTTTAATCTTGTGTCTACATTTCATGAATAAAATTTTCACATGTAGTTGTATTTTTTTTTTTTAATATTTCAGATTGTTAGGAATTGAGCTTGATTAACCTGATTAAGAGTCTAACACTCTATTATCTTATATCTCAAGAATAATATGCTTTTTGCTTAACATTATTTGATTTAGGATGAGATTACGTCTAAATTTATCTGATATTTCAGCTATATTCAATTCTCAGACAAATAAATTTTAAGAAGCTTCTGCCTTATTAATTGCTCGAGAGTGGCTTTCCTTCAAGGGAAATGGCCCATTAACCACGCAGACACAAAAATCCTTCAAGGGGATTTGAATCTTATTTTCTTATGCCTTAGTTATTTCTTTCCTTTCTTAGTCATGCATTTGAAAATGGGTCACAAAATGGTTTTATATTTCTAAAACCTTCCTTAATAAAGTGATGAAACTTGACAAACATGAACTTATAATAACACTAACTCATGATTTAAAGTCAAATATCCTTTCCATTATTTAAAAAGTGAGAATGAAATCCATTTTTTCCTCATAGAATTATCGTTGGATCCTCAGTTTTTAACTCCAATTGTCACAATTTTTATTTCTAAACTTAGGACATCAGTCTATCACTAGCAATAAGAAATTTTATTACACCAAAGATCTTAATATAATTTATCCACATCAATTTATGTAAGATTATAATCAACACATTCAAAATTTAAAACCTTCAGGCTGCATCCCAGCCATTCCAATTAAGTGGACAAAGCCAGCCCTATAACTTCAGTCTAATATATATGTAACGATCTGATCCTGTGTTCCAAGGGCGAACCCACCGCATTAATCCTCTGACTGTCAATGGTTTTGTTCTGTGGGTCTATTTTCCTCTCCCTTTTTGATACTCAAGAAAACATAGGGTCAGTTGATTTTTGACGTCAAGCATTTGTTAGAAATCGCTATTTCTTTGATTGTTTGATAGAGTTTAAATCAGATTTCCCAAAACTCTTGACTTTCCTTCTGGAGGAACGGACTAATTCAGCTACGTGCTTCATGGGACAATTAGCATTGTCTCGAGCGTTTACTTCAAGGTCGCCTGAACATCAATTTCTCATCATTATCAGTTGAGAAAATTATGGAGCTGATTGCGCCCTTTCCAAGATATGTCTGCTATTAAATATATGACATAATGTCGTCCAAATAGTTTTTTCACACTTCTTTTAGTAACAATTTTTTTTAAGTGGCGAATTTTCGTAAATTTGAAGTTCGACTTTCGACATTTATAATTTTCTGTTCTTTATATATCTGATTAAAGTTCAATATCTTTTTTACAAAAAATTCACAATTTCATTTTAAATAATTAATGCACATTAAAATTAATTTAATAATAATTACGAACTAAATTTTATATCTTTTCACTTTTAAATTGATTGTATAAAAGACAAAAAAAATTATGTTAGTTTATAATTTTAAATCTTCTTACATCATTTCTATAAAAAAATATTTTTATCTATTTTTTAAACCCTCATATCATTTCTTATTCTTTACAATAATGTCTTTTGCTGTTTACCTTTAAAAGTTTTGATTTTTCTAAATTTAAAAACTTATTCCTCTTAACTAAAATGCACATTAAAGTTAATTTATGATTGAAATTTTTAATGATTTTAAATTAAATAATTAAGAAGATAATTAATGAAAATTAATTAAAAAAATAAAATAATCATGTAAATCCTAGATTTATTTGAAAGATACATGTGTTAGTTTATAAATAATGATCCATTTATATCAATATAAATTTTATATTTTATATTTTATATTACATGTGTTAGTTTATAAATAATGATCCATTTATATCAATATAAAATTTATATTTTATATTTATATTTTAAAATTAAATTTATAATTAATTTAAAAAACAAAACAATATTTTTAATTTTAATATAAAAATTACACTTGTAGAAATAGAAATATCTCTGTTACTTTTTAATGACGGGCCTTTTCCTCTACCAAACCACAATATCATCCTAAAGAAAGTGGTCCAGTCTTCAGTCTTGAAACCATATTCAAACTAATATAATATATGATTACAACAAAAGATGACTGACTCAATCTTTCATATTAGTTCACTCAGGATTTTATTTTTGCCATTTTTTATTTCACTATTAGCATTGATTAAGAACTAATCATTAATGTTTTTAGTACAAGAAATATATTAATAATATATTTTTCTTTCAAATATTTTGATATATTTGTTACTATTCATACATCATATAAATTAATACAATTGAAACGTGGAAGTTGTGGGAAAGTGTAACAAAGCTAGCTTCACTTTTTAATGAATGAAACTCTTTCGAACAAAAGATTAAACACAAACAAAATTTGGGATATCTTGATCATATTATAAAAGAAAAAAAAAAAAAAAACAGAGTTCCAATCAAACCTTCTATGTAATATTGCACATAGTTCTCCTTCGTAAACCAAACAATTTCAAAATTCAAACTAATTCATTCGGCTTGATGGAGGGCCTTTGGAAATAAAATAATTAATGGAAAAAGGAAAAAATTTGTCTGATTGTTTGCAATTACAAAATACGAAGATGCTTTACAACAAAAGATCAAAGGAACTTTATCCAGAAACAGTAACCTATGTAATTTTTCTTTTTCCTTTTATTGGTGTGCATATATATATATATATATATATATATAAAACAAAAAAAAGAAACGAAGACCAGCTAAATGTTCCATTTATGGGGCCAGCTCCGTCAAATCAATTCATCTGGTTCATTCAGCTGCCATTATCATGCTTTAAGGTCCCTAAGTCTTGGTCAATTTGATGTTATATGAATAGGTTAGTGACTTAAGAGTCAGTCAACCTCAGTCCCGGCCCCCGGCCCCTTCAGTTTCAATAAGGTGAAGTTTTGTTGGGGAAAAACTACAAAGATCGATTACTTTCACATTAGCATTCGGCTATCCATATTTGTAGCCAATAGAACCCAATAAGCTGTGGCTTCTTGCCTTGTTAGGAAGAAAGAAAAGGCTGGGTTGAGTGTCAATTAATTTGTATCATGATTCATTAGGGACCCTATTGTTGAAAACAACAGTGCCTTCTTCTTCAAAGTATTCTTTTACTTTTCGAACATGCATTCATATTTTGATTTTTGTTATTCAAAAAAGTTGAAGAAAATTTAGTTAAAAAGCTACAAAAGAAAAAAGGATAAAATTTTAATAATTTTAAATTAAATAGAAAGATAATTAATGAAAATCAATTAAAAATAAAATAATTGTGTGAATCATAAAATAATTATGCGACATGAGGTATTTTACATGCAAAGCTTGTGCAATTAACTCTGGTAGCTTAGTTAATTGTAGATAAAGTAAGTATTTTTATTAGTTCCAAAACGTAATAAAGGAGATGGAAAAAAGAAGGAAATGATGAACACTTTATTGTAATGACTTGTGTATTATAACGAGGCTTAAAACCTATTTATATAGAGATAAAATGTTATAAAATAAAAAATACAATAAATAGAAACAAGGACTAAATCAATTTTTATAATTAGCTAAATCAATATTTAATATTCTTAAAATCAATATCAAATCAATCTAGAATATTATTGAAATATTACTAGAATAATATTATCAATCTAGATTATTTTCATAATATTACTGTAATATCATTAACACCCCCCACAAACTCAAGATGGTAATGTAGACGCCAACTTGAGTTTGAAAAGTAGGACAAGAAATTGACTAAGTGGATGTGATTTAGTGAATATATTCGCTTTTTGATTAGCACTAGTAATCGGAACAAGTCGAAGAGTTTGAGTAAGCAAATGGTGACGAATGAAGTGACAATCAATTTTAATATGTTTAGTACACTCATGAAAAATATTATTATGAGCTATCTGAATGGCACTTTGATTATCACAAAATATAAGAGTACTAGAGTAATGAAAAACACCTATATCTTGAAATAGCCATTGTAACCATAGAAGTTTTGATGTGGCATCTACAAGAGCTCGATACTCAACTTAAGTGCTAGAGTGGGATACCACAGTTTATTTTTTACTTTACCAAGAAATAAGAGAAGAAAGAAGAAAGAAATAGTAGCCTGTTGTAGAACGACGATCAGTAGGATCTTCTGCCCAATCAGAAGCAATATATCACAATAAATCCATAGCAATATAGAACGATCAATAATGTAATAAAAATAAAGTACACTAAAATTTATGTGACAAACCTTCCAATAAAAAGAAAAAAAATTATGAACTACTAGAAAAATCTCTAATATCAAATAATAAATATACAAAGTTCTCTTCTAACTAAAACTAGAGTTAATCAATAACTAGAGATACAATTAGAAAAATCTCACCAAATAGGTGACTCAATAAATACACAATTGATTTGTTCCTAGAGAGCTTCAAACCCAATTTCCACTGTTTAAAATGTAGAACACTGAATCATGAACTTATTGACAAAATTTCAACTCAATTGGACAATGAATCCACTTTCATTCAACCAACTCTCTATTCTCTACTTTTTTTTTTTTTGGCTTTTATTTTCCTATTGATTTTGATGCTACATACTTTTTTTTTAGCCAAAACCACAGCCCCCTTCTTTTATTATTTAAGGCTTTATTCTAGATTAAAAGTCAAAAGGCCTATAACCTTTGATTGGTTAAAACAATAAGGTTGGACCTTATAGATTTTAAACAATCTCTCATTCCAACTACGTTAAGAGGAGATTCATCACTATAGCAGTTTCATTTGAAACTTACTTTGGCCAAAGAACTCATTCCGGCCAAGTTACTGCAAAGCTCAAGCTTTTTCTTAGAAAGTGTCTTAGTCAATATATCTGTTGTATTCTCATTAGTATGGATTTTCTTCAATTGCATATGCTGTTTCTTAATCACCAAATGTAACCAATAATAGCTAACATCAATGTGCTTTGTTCTAGCATGATATATGACATTCTTACTCAAATTTAAAGCACTCTGACTATCATAAAACATTACATACTATTTTTGATTCAAACTCAATTCAAGAAAAAAATGTTAACCAAAGTATTTTTTACCTGCTTTGATTGCTGCAATATATTTAGCCTCTGAGTTGACAAGACAATACACTTTTATAGCTTAGACTGCTAAGACGCACCTCTTCCGGCACAAGTAAACAAATATCATGAAGTAGATTTTCTACTATCATGATCACCTACCATGTTAGTATCAATAAACCCTTCTAGAATTAGTTGTGAAACTCTATAACTCAAGTACATTTTTGAGGTGCTCCTCAAATATCCTCATGCAAAAGTGAACAAATACCTTGAAATAAATTTTTTACCATCAAGATCACTTGCCATGTTAGTATCAATAGATCTTTCTATAATTGATTATGAAACTCCATAACTAAGGCACATTTTTGAGGTACCCTTTAAATATTTAAAAATTCATTTCGCTGTTGTTGGAGAGATACATCACACATAGAGCTTACGAGAGTACACTAGAGAGCCCATGCATATATATTGGACACCACTTGAGCTTAAAAGCTTAAGTTATTGGATTCTTGAGTTTTTTTTATATATATAAGATATCTCATTCATATTTCTTAGTGATGTAGGATTTTTTACTTACATATGAACCTTATCCCAAAACATATATGATCATATCTTTCATTAATTTCTAAATTTTAATGAATTAAATTGAAAATTGCTATTCTTTTTTCAAATTTTGGAGTGATTTTGGTAGTTTCTTTTCTTCTTATTTTATGGTTTAGAAAGAAAAATTTCAGCCAAAGGCAACTTGTGTGGAAAATCCACTTTCAAAGTTATCAATGTCATACTAAAGCATTTTAAAGGCAACTGGTGGATTCTCGCAGGAAAATTTGGTTGGTTTTGGTAGCTTTGGTTCGGTATACAAAGGAATTTTTGAAAAGAGTGGAGTAGTTATTGCTGTTAAGATGCTTAATCCTCTAAGTCATACAACTTTCAGGAGTTTCATGGCTGAATATGAGGCTTTGAAAAAATTGGGCATCAAATTCTTGTCAAAGTATTAACAGCAATTTAAGGGTAGATTATCAAGGGAATGATTTTAAAGCATTGGTTTATGAGTTCATGCAAAATGGGAGCTTGAAAGATTGGCTCCATCCTTCTAGTGGCATTGTCCTAACGATTTTATGTCCGTCTGACGAATTTGAAAATGAAAGAAAAAAAATGAAAAACAGAGTCATCATTATTCTTTTTTGGCCAAGTACGATTGGTCACCTATTAAAACATATCATTTTAATAAAATCTTTAAATTAAAATTTATTAAAAAGATAATTTTATGATCTATGAGACAATCTGGGTCCGGTTACGCGCGACGAAAGATTAGCACCCCCATAGCGTTCGTTTAAAATGGTACCGATTAATTAATGTTATCCATTGATTTTGATAAAGATAGTCTTATTTTTGGTGTTTGAAAAATAATTTCCTTGATTTTTCTTATTGAAAATTTGGTTTTTTCTTTTTTAATATTTTTTATTATTTATTGTTCTATTTTTATTCAAAAAATGAATTAGAATCTTTTTATTGAAATAATTCTTAAAATGTTACAGTACGTTGGTAACATTAGAAAAACTTTTTCTTACTTAAAGATTTCTTAGATTTTGCTTCTCGAAATACCTTAGAATCTCATCCTCAGAGACTCATTTATTCTCGAAATACCTTAGATCTCATGCAAAATGCTAATATGTTGATGCACACATTTATTCTCTTCTTTAGAAATTTTATTAATCTTATTTATTGAATTATTATTTTCATTGTTTTATTGAAGAAAAGAGAAAATTTTATCATGTTTAAGATTTTTATAAATATTTCAATACACTAGTAATATTTAAAGAAAAAAATCTCTTTACCTAGGGATTTCGTAAAGCATCATAACTTGAAATACTTTTAGAATCCCATCTTCGGATAATATTTTTTTTCCTCATTCTTTATTATTTTATTATCTATTTTATAACAAAGAAAAGAAAAATTTTTATTATATTAAAAACTTTTTATAAATACTCTAATACGCTGGTAGTATTTAAAAAAAATTTTTTCACCTAGAGATTTCATAGGTATCACTACTCAGAGTACCTTTGAATCTTATCGTCGGATAAAAATTTACTTCTCTTACATTTTTATTATTTTTTAATTATTGTTATTTTATAAGATTTATTTTAAAATTAACAAAACTATAAAAAATTTTAACTATATATTTCATTATTTATTTTTATTATTCCAAAAAAATTTATTTCAACAAATTTAAATTTTTTAACATGCATAAATACTAATAATAAAATTTAAAATGATAAAAATAATATTAAAAAATTTAAAAAAAATTTACCTGACCGGACCAATCAACGTTGGTTTGGGCTAGTATGGTAAGTTTGGCAGTTTGGAACTGGTCTAGTTCAGTCTGGACTGGTTAGAAGTCAGAGGGAGAACAAGTCGCGGGTCCATTGCACTGATCCTGAGTTGGGTCAAGGCTGACACGCGGATCTTCCCATGCTTAAAATAGTATCGTTTTGCTTTTGCCTAAACGACGTCATTTTGAAAGCCTATTTAAAGGCCAAATCATATTTTTTAAAATTTTCTTCTTCCTCTTTCTCTCTTTTCCCCTCAGACGCTTTCACACTCTCTTTAAAAAAATCAGAACCCAGTGGCCATTACGCCATGCCATCTGTCACTCGCGATCGTCGTCCACCATCCGTCGGTCATTGGAAAAACCCAAAGTCGCCAAAAATCTTATTCTCAATCCCTTAAACACAAATCTAGACTTAGTTTTGTAAGAAAAGGCCTCGAATTACATAAATTCGACTTGAAAGATTCGACTAAAATGATTTTTGTTTTTTATTTTTGTATCTCTCTTTTTTTGGTGTGAGATACCTTTTTTTTTTATATAAAAAGTTTTTTTTGGGAATCTGGCAACATTTTTTTTTTTTATGGAATTTTTTTGTAAGGCTTTTGGGTTTTTTTTTTTTTTCTTATGGGTTCTTTTCAAACGGCTTCTCATTGCTCTATTTATAAAGCAAAAAATAAAAAGATCAACATCCTTGAAAATTTAAGATTTTGGTTGCTTAAGATTAGGGTGGCCGCCAGCTGTCAGAGTGACTGTTGGTGGCTGTTAGAGCCGCTGGCAGTGTGGCTGCCGACAGCTGGCAGAAAAGGTACCAGAAAAAGAAGAAAGAAAAAAGAAAAGAAAAAGAAAAAGAAAAAGAAAAAAGGAAAAAAAAAAGAAAGATGAAAGAAAAAATATATAAAAATAAAATGAGTATCTAAAGGCATGAATGAGGTACAGGAGGGACCCAAAAGCTTAAATTTTTTTCAGAGATTGAATGTGGCAGTTGATGTGGGTTGTGCATTGGAGTCTCTTCGTCATCATTGCGAAACACCAATCGTTCAAAGTGACCTCAAACGGAGCAATGTTCTACTTGATGATGTAATGGTTGTCCATGTTGGTGATTTTGGACTAGCAAAATTCAATGCATCAGACACGCAAAATAACCCTTCAAGCCTGTCAAGCTCCCTTGGGTTAAGAGGAACAATTGGTTATGCTCCTCAGGTAAGTAGACTACCATATGTTTTGTATATGCATATTTTTCATCAATATGTTATTGAGTTTAACATGTTAAGTGCTTTGATTTGAGAAAGCTATTTGCACCTATGTAAAAATTGTTGCTCTTATTTGTGACAAATGAATTGCAGAATATGGCTTGGGAAGTAATGTGACAACATATGGTGATGTGTACAGCTATGGCATTCTTTGGCTGGAGATGTTTACGGTGAAAAGACCCACTGATGAAATGTTTAAAGAGAATCTGAACCTTCATAACTTTGTTAAAACAGCTTTGCCAAATCGAGTAGCTGAGATTACAGATCCCATTCTTCTTCAAGAAAGTTTCAATGAGAGCAGCCAAAACGATGACATACTTCTTTGGAGCTTGAATTCTATATTTGAATTTGGAGTTGCCTGTTCTTTTGATTTGCCAACTGAGAGAATGAGCATGGCTAATGTTGTTGCTAAGCTTTGTTTTATAAGAAACAATCTGCTTCCTACTCGATCATTAGGAACAAGAGGTACTAATATTATTTTATCTGAAGTAATTTAAACATATTTGTCAAAATCTTACATCCTTTATGACCTGTTTTGTAGTTTTAATTATTTCCTTCAGCTGCAGGTACTGCTTGATGGCTTTTATTTCCATTCTCTTGTTTTGTGAACTGAAGGATCAAATCTGTAAGAATATTGGATTTAGTTTAAGTTCTTAATCTTGAGTCTACATTTCATGAATAAAATTTTCACATCTAATTGTAATTTTTTTTAATATTTGAGACTGTCAGGAATTGAACCTGATTATTGTAACTAAAAGTCTAGCATGCTATTATTTTATATGTCAAGAGTATTATACTTTTCTAGTGTTTATTGCTTAATATTATTTGATTTAGGATGAGATTATGTCTAAATTTATTTGGTATTTCAGCTATATTTAATTTTCAGACAAATGAATTTTAAGAAGCTTTTGTCTTATTCATTGCCCGAGAGTGGCTTTCCTTCATGGGGATTGGCCCATTAACCACGCAGACAAAAAATTATCCTTCAAGGGGATTTGAAAATAATTGTATTCTTATTTTCTTATATTTCTGTTATATTTTTCTTTTCTTAATCATGCATTTGAAAATGTGTCGCAAAATGGTTTTATGTTTCTAAAACCTTCCTTAATAAAGCGATGAAACTGAACAAACATGAAATTATGATAACACTAAATCATGTCCTTTCCATTATTAAAAAAGTACAGATGAAATTCATTTTTTCCCGGTTGAATCCTCAGTTTTTAACTCAATTTGTCACAATTTTTATTTCTGAACTTAAGACATTAGCTGATCACTAGCAATAAGGAATCTGATTACACCAAAGATGTTAATATAATTTGTTCACGTCAATTTATGTAAGATTATAATCAACACATTCAAAATTTAAAACCTTTTGGCTGCATCCCAACCATTCCAATTAAGTGGACAAAGCCAGCCGCATAACTTCAGTCAAATATGAAAACGATCTGATGCCGTGTTCCAAGGGCTAACCCTTGATGGTTTCAGTAAATGGGGTTATTATTATGAATAGCATTTCTGAAGTGTATAAAATTCATTCAGAGGTGACTTTTGAAAGAAATAAGGTAAAAAAATTTATAAAGAAATAAGGTAAAAAAATTTATTCTTTGTATAATGAAGTTTTAATGGTGTTGTTTTATCATTTCCAACTGAGCTTATACAACTTCAAAATTAACTGTCTTGGCCTAATCATGGACATGAGAGAAACTGGAATGTCTGCCAAGAAAATGGCAGATGCTGTTGTAGTCTAGCTCTTGTTTCAGTTACCCACAAAAGAGAAGTAGTTTCAGCAATTTCCTTACGCAAAAATGAAGGAGAAACAGAAAAGAAGGAACAAAAATCATCACAACACTGATTAAGCAGGTAGAAACTGTAATGTAGCAGAATTACTAGTACAATCACAAGGCTGAAACACTAGAAATGTTCTACTTTGACTGTAACGAGAGAAGAAGAACAAGTTGCACAGCAATTGGAAATGATAATGTTGCATTCAGTGGGGTAATCGAGTTGGAAGAAGCTTATCTCTGACGGAACAAAGCTCAGCTGTAACATTAGTCATGTTCATTCGCTCGCTTGGCGATTTAGCAGAACAAGTGACTCCAATACGAAATATTGAAATAAAGCACTGAAGGAATCTCTCATCTCTCTGCTTGCTCTGATTGACTATTTCTTGAAGAAGAATGGGATCTGTAATCTCAGCCACTCTTTCCGGTAAAGCCACCTTAAATTAGTTGTGGAGGTTCAAATCCTCTTTTAACATTTCATCGGTCGGCCTCTTCCCAGTAAACATCTCCAACAAAAGGATGCCATAGCTGTACACATCACTATAGGTAGATACCTTATTTCCCAAGCCATATTCTGCAATTTTTATTCATCACAAATTTTCAATCATGGTAAAGGATATCGCATATAATGTATTAAGATGACTGTTTCATACCCGAACTCTTAATCGAGATGATGAGTTAGCTTGGATTAATGTGGAAGTTACTTTAAGGATTATATCTTACATTGATAGGAATGAATAGAAGTGTGTATTTACCTGGTGCAACATAACCAATAGTTCCTCTTAATGAGCTTGATAGGCTTGTAGAGTAATTTTGCGCATCAGCTGACATGAATTTTGCTAATCCAAAGTCACCTAGATGGCCAACCATTTCATCATCAAGTAGAATATTGCTTGGTTTGAGGTCACAATGAACAATTGATGTTTCACAATGATGATGAAGATACTCCAATGCGCAAGCAACATCAACAGCAACATTCAATCTCTGAGAAAACTCCAACTTCTTTGGTGGCTCCTCTGCCATGTTCGTGCCAACAGATGGATGCAGCCAATCTTCTAGGCTTCCATGGACCATGAACTCATAAACAAGAGCCTTAAAATCATTGCCTTGATAATCAACACTCGAGCAGGCAATTAAGATCTTGACAAGATTTCTATGTCTTACTTTCCTCAGGGCCTCACATTCGCGTATGAAACTCTTGGATGCTCTGTGGCTCAAACGATTAAGCACCTTGACAGCAAGAAGTGTTCCATTGTCTTCGAGAATTCCCTTATATACAGAGCCAAAGCTACCGACACCTACCAAATTTGCTGATGAAAATCCGTCGGTAGCTTTTAGGATGCTTTGGTAAGATAACTGTAAAGGTGAATTTTCCAAATAGTTAGCTGTAGGCTGCTTTCTTTTCTTCCTAAACCAAACTAGAACAAGCAAGGAGAAGGCCAATGTTACTCCTATAATTCCAGAAACAATAACAATTATTATTTTTGGCAAGCTGGTTCTACTCCTCGACGACATTTTACATCTAGGCAAGTGGAAGTCAGGTGAGCCTCCACAAAGCTTACTGTTTCCCTGGATGAAAGTAGCACTTGAGTTCCTAAAAACTCCTTCAGTTGCTACAGCACCTTCAAAATCATTATAAGAAAGATTCAAAATTTGCAATGACCCAAAACTCTCCAAAAAATCTGGAATTTCACCTGAGAGGTTATTGAGAGAAAGTTCTAAAACTTCAAGACCTCTCAATGACCTCAAAGAGTTAGGAATAGACCCTTGGATAAAATTGCCCCCTAGAACTAGTTTCTCCAGTCTAATACAACTACCAAGAGTGCTTGGAAGCACACCTGATAACATGTTCCGAGAAACATCTAACGCACCAAGATCTTTCAAATTTCCTACTTCAGTGGGAAGTGCACCAGTCAAAAGATTTGAAGATAAGTTTAGAGCAATGGACAAGGATGAGAGACCAGCTAATTCTGGGGGTATAGAACCAGTGAGGTTGTTATTAGAAAGATCCAATAAAATCAAACTTTTGCATTTACTAAGACTCGGAGGAATGATGCCCTGAAAATTGTTGTGACCTAAATTCAGATTGATCAACATCGTTAAATTTCCAAAAGAAAGGGGAATACTCCCGGACAGAGAATTTTCTCTTACATCGAACACCTGTAGCTTCTGGAGCACTCCGATTATAGGGGGAATGTGACCTGATAATTGATTGTTACATGTTGTTATCAGTTCCAAGTTGATGAGATTCCCGATCCCAGCTGGAATTTTTCCCCATATTTCATTACCATCTATGGCAAAAATTTCCAGATTTATTGACAAATTGCTTATGCACTCTGGTATTATCCCACCAAAAGTGTTATCGTTCATATTCAACACCTGAAGGCCTGTGGCATTGGTCAAGGTGCAAAGAAAGTTCAAGTCATCGGCTCCCCTACTTCCAAGAAGGTTGCCAGCAATGGCAAACCACTGTAGCTTTTCCAGCTTGTCAAAGGAAGGCAAATTTCCAGTAAACTTGTTTAGCACAACTTCAAGTTGTAGGAGATTTGAGGCATTGGATATTGAAGCAGGCAACGTCCCAGTGAGTTGGTTATTACTGACAGCAAGTATTTCAAGAGATGGTATGGTGAATCCTAGGTCCCAAGGAAGAGTACCTTGAATTCGGTTTGAGCCAATATCAAGAGTTTTTAGATTGGAGAGATTGAAAAGAGAGGAAGGAACAAGACCAGAAAGTTCATTTTCTTCCACGGAAAAAAATGTAAGATTTGCGAGTTGGTCAAGAGTTTCAGGAATAGCCCTGCTCAATGTGTTTGTAGCCAGAGAAAGTATCTCCAAAGATGTTAGGTTCCCAAAGGAAAGCGGGATACTACCGCTTAAACTGTTGCAGTATAAATAGACTACTTTTAGGTTTGCCAAACTGCGAATAACAACAGGAATTTCTCCAACTAGTTGGTTGTTTGAAAGCTCAATAACTCTAAGTTTAGAGCAACTAGAAATATTGGAAGGAATTTCACCAACTATGGAGTTGTTGGAAAGTTTCAACTCTTGCAATCTACGCAAACGGCCAACTTCTTGTGGAATTTCATTGCTGAAGCTATTGTTTTGAAGATTTAACACTTTTAGAAAGCTCAAGTTTCCAATAAATGGTGAGATAGGCCCCATTAGTTTCCATGATTGCAAGTCTAACTCGATTACTCTCTGACGTCTGCGACTGCATGTAATTCCAGGCCAATGGCAGAAATGGACTGAATTGTTCCACAAATGCATGACCCCAAGCTGATCACTACTGATCTTGGCTTTGAACTCCAGCAAAGCTTGTTGATCCGTTTCATTTCCACCAACTCCAAAGTTAGCTATACCAAATAAGTTAGCAATTTGCAGGTTGAAACTAAACAGAAGGATTAATAAACAACAATGCAAAAGGGGGAAAGAAAAGGAGACACATAATGGGAAGAATACAATGCCCATCATTGAGTGTAGGTTTTAATTGGCAGGGCTTGGTTCATTAACAATAACTAAAAAGCTTTTTTTTGTCTTTTTTTTTTTTAGCATTATGATCTGTAAAACATCATTACTTTCAAAGCTCAATTTCTTAGACATCATGGGGTAATTTCTACTCTTGAATAATTGATAGTTTGCAAAGAAAATTACTTTGATCCAAAAATAGAAGGAAAAAAGGCATTTGTTTGGCTAGAATTATAAAATTATAACAAGCAAAGCTTCTAACTATCTAGTGAAAATCTATCAGATTAATTAAAGTTTGGATGATAAATTCATATGGAATCCTTTACCTTTGTTTGGTGATTGCAATTCTAACTTGGTCATCACTCTTTGATGTCGGCGATTGCATGTAACACCATGCCATTGGCAAAAATGAACACCGTTCCGATCACCATCACCGGTAATATTCTTGGCCTTGAACTGATCAAGTAAGGCTGCTGAACCAAGTGATTTAGGACCTTGTGAAGTAAAGCTCAAGAGGAGAGTCAGAGCTAACGCAAGTGCCCAAGACGCTTCCAAATGCACAACCGTTAAACCCATCAAGCACATAACTCTCACGAATAAGTAAGGTTGTCTTGCATATATTTGGCACCAGTTGGCTCATAAAACTTGAGCAAAGATTCAAAATAATATGTTTTAGTTTGTTATTAAATAAAATATATATTTTCTCTCTTGCTGCAAGCCTACAACTACTAATTACTGCTAATATTTTTGTTAAGCTTTTGAAATATTATTAATTAAGTTTTACATGTTTTACTATTCATAATTTATTGTATTTAGCACGATATACATATATTACATAAAAGGAAGTCAAGATTTAAAGAAAAATTGAGAAAATAAATTTGTAAGTCATGGGATGGAATCTCGATCTTACTAGAATTATAAATTATTTAAGTTTCATATTCATGATATATATATATATATATATATATATTCTAATTCAATATTATGTTTGTTACTATATATTACAATTCATTGAGTTGTACTATGTAGTTTAATTCTGATAATAATTTTATTTTTGTTGCTTTAAAGTTTTATTATAACTATTAATGTTACAATTTGTGTTATTTTATTGAAAACATATGCTCCATCCCCAATTGAAAATCCATATTTCATTTGGTGCTATCTCAAAAGTATATATGTTGTCTTTCTTTTTTATAAAACCACAAAATTACTACTTTTTCTACTCTCTCTATTATAAATTTTACATTAATTAATTTTAATATAAAAGAATTAAAGTCAAAACATTTTTCTTAATGTAAAATTATAATTGTAGTCTTATTTTCTTATGTCTCTGTTATTTCTTTCTTTTTTCATCATGCATTTGAAAATGGATCACAAAATGGTTTTATATTTCTCAAACCTTCCTTAATAAAATGATGAAACTTGATAACTATGAACTTATGGTAACACTAACTCATGATTTAAAGTCAAATATCCTTTTCATTATTTAAAATATAAAGATGAAATCTTTTTTTTTTTTTTTATGATAAAATTACCGTTGGATTCCCAATTTTTAACTCAATTTATCACAATTTTTATTTTTCAACTTAGGACATTGGTAACAAGGAATCTTATTACTTGTAGTGATACTTGAGAAAACATAGGGTCAGTTGATTTTTAACGTCAAGCATTTGTTAGAAATTGCTATTCTTTGATTGATTGACAAAAGGAATTAAAATCAGATTTTCCAAAATTCTGTTGACTTGTATTCTGGAGGAACGAACTAGTTCAACTACGTGCTTCATGGGACATTTAGCATTGTCTCTAGCGTTTACTTCAAGGTCGCCTGTGCGTCAATTTCTCATCATTATCAGTTCATAGATTATAGAGCTAATTGGTCCTTTCAAATAGATGTCTGCTATTGAATATATGACATGTAATGTCTTCTTCACACTTTTTTTTAGTAGGACTTGTTTTAAGGGATGAATTTTCGTAAATTTGAAGTTGGATCTTCCGTATTTGTAATTCTCTTTCCTTCATATATTCGAATAAAGTTAAATCTCTCTTGTACAAAAAATTTTCATTTTCATTTTAAGTAATCAATGCACATTAAAATTAATTTGACAATAACAACAACAAATTAATCTTTTTGCTTCATAATTCTAGAATCGATTGTATAAAAAACTTAAAAATAAGAAACGCATTAGTTCGTAGTTTTAACTTTTTTATGCCACTTATTTTTATTAAAAGCAACCTTTTTTTATTTTATTTTAACTTTCATATATATTTTTTTATTATTTGTATTCATGTATTTTATGATTTACTTCAATAAGTTTTGGTCTCTTTTAAAAATTTGTTTTTTTAATTGGAATACACATTAAAATTAATTTATGATTAAAAATTTTAATGATTTTGAATTAAATAATTAAGAAGATAATTAATGCAAAATAATTAAAAATAAAGTAATCATGTAAATCCTAGATTTATTTGAAAGATACATGTGTTAGTTTATAAATAATGATCTAGTTACACCAGCATAAATTTTATATATTTTTATTTTTATATCAAAATTAAATTCCTATTTAATTTGAATTAAAATAATATTTTTAATTTTAGTATAAAAATTACACTGATATAAATAAAAATATCTCCATTACTTTTTAATCACAGGTCTTTCCCTCTACCAAACCGCAATCTCATCTTAAAGAAAGTGGTCCAGTTTTCAGTACTCTTAAAACCATATTCAAACTGATATAATGTGTGATTATAACAAAAGATGACTGACTCCATCTTTTATATTAGTTCATTCATGATTTTATTTTTGTCATTTTTTATTTCACTATTAACATTGATTAAGAATTAATCATTAATCTTTTTACTACCAGAAATATATATAATTAATATATTTTTTCTTTCAAATATTTTGATATATTTGTTGCTATTCATACATCGTATAAATTAATACAATTGAAACATGGAAGTTGTGGGAAAGTGTAACAAAGCTAGCTTCATTTTTTCTTTGGTTCAATGGTTTTGTTGTCATGTGTGGCTCTATTTTTCTTTGATTGTCATATTTGCCAATTTCTGTTGACTTTTATTCTAGAGGAACGAACCAGTTCAACGACTTGCTTCGCGGGACAGTCAGCTTCGTCTTCGGAGTTTACTTCAAGGTCGCCCTTGCATCAATTTCTCGTCAGCATCAGTCTTCTCGAGTGCTAATTGTGGTCATTTTTGGTAGAAATTATACCAATCACTTAATTCAAATGATTTATTATCTTACTTAAATATATGAATCAGTGCTAGAAGGAGAGAATCAGACTAAGACGGACCTGGTGTGGAACTGACTCGACAGAGTTGACCGAGTGGGCGCGTAGCTGAGTGAACGATGTAGACACCATTTATTTATTTATTCTATTTCTTTTTTCATTTTTTGGTAATTTTTCTGTGGGCCATCGACAGTCGCACTGCCAGCGACTCTGACAGCCACCTGCAGTTGGACTGTCAATGGTTCTAATTGTTGGACTAAAAGTCTCCAATCCAATCACACCAACGGAAGCGAAATCAAATAATAAATCAAACACATAAGAGATAACAATTTAACGTGATTCGGTCCAACTGACCTACATTCACGGATAAGAAAAAAGATCTACTAATTGTAGAGAATTACAAACTTACATCAAATCATCAATCTCTCTCAACAATCCATACTCATAAGATACTCTCAATCTCCTCTAATCCTATAGAGTATTCTCAACCCAAACAAATACAAACTCAAACTCTTATGCACCGTTTCAACACAACCAAACACATACCCATATGTTCCTATACATCATACCTATGTGGACCCTCTCAGTCTCCTCTAGTCCACTCACAAATAAGCATACACACCTATAAGACATAGAGCCCCAATACTCCTATGGGGTGTCTATCCCATAAAATTCTACAACTTTCTTACATCTTTTTCTCATACTTAACTTTGTAGAGACTTCACCTATTTATAACCATACAAACTTACCCATTAAGAATCCCTCTCCTCTTAGAATTCTTCTCCTGTAAGTCAAACTTGCCTATTAAGAATCAATTTCCTTTTAGAATTCTTCTCTTGCAAGTCAAACTTACCTATTAAGAATCCTCTTTCTTTTGGAATTCTTCTTTTGCAAGTCTTCTTGTCCATCAAGCAATATCTGACAAATCCCAAACAAATTTCTAACAAATCTCAAACAAATCTCTTAAGAGATTTGAGTCAATATTTCCAACACTAACAGTCATCGACAGTCGTTTTGATAACCGATAGCTACCTTATTCTTAGGCAATCAAAATTTCATATTTTTTGAGATTTTGATATTTTTTTTTGCTCTATAAATAGAGTCATAAAACTAGCAACAAAGGAGAGACGGAGGAAGCCCTGCTAAAAAATTTTTTTTTGATAGATCTAAAAAAAAAAGGCTTTCTGTCAAAAAAAAATAAAAAAAAAAACAACAAAGAAAAAAACCATAGTCCCCGTGGCAAAGGAACCCAGCACCAACAAAAAAATAATAAAAAAAATGCAAGCCACAAAAAAAAAAAAGGTTTGGCCAAAAGTTAGAGGGTAGTTCTAGGAGATTTGAAATCTCTTTTGGTGAAAAAAGGGTCAGATCAGGGTAGAGGAGAGTGTGGGGAGTATTTTCATGTTTTTTTTTTTTGAAATTTTCGACATCGACGATGGGGATAAGAGCTTGCCAATGGTAAAGAACATAGTGGCCATCACGACGGATGACCACCTGCCTTGATTTGTCTTAAAAAAAAGGGGGAGAGTAGAGAGAGGGGTTATTTTTTTGGAGAATGAGGGAAAAATTTGTTAAATTTTTTTTTTTGACTTTTATATAGAAAAATAGCTCCAAAACGACGTCGTTTTATTTAAAAGCCTAAAACGATATCGTTTTAAGCTCAAGATCTGTGCGTCAACCCAAAACTGGACTCGGGGTTGGTGCACTCGACCCAACGACCCATTTTTCAATTGACTTTTGACCAGTCCAGATCAAATCAGACCGGACTGAACTGCCAAACCGATCGAACCCGCGTTGATTGGACCGTTGACTAGTCCTGTTCAGGTAATTTTTTTTTGAATTTTTTTGAATTTTTTAATATATTATTTTAATAATATTTATGCATATTAAAATATTTATATTTGTTAGAATAAATTTTCTTGAAGTAAATAAAAATAAATAATGAAATATGTAGTTAAATTTTTATAATTTTGTTAATTTTAAAATAAACATAATAATATTAAAAAAATAAAAAATGTAAAAAAAATTTTTTTATCCGACGATGAGATTCATAAGTATTTCGAATAGTGATACCTGCGAAATTTCTAGGTGAGAAGATTTTTTTAAATACTACTAGTGTATTGAGTATTTATAAAAAAGTTTTCAATACAATAAAATAATAAATAAAAATTAACTAATAAATTAAAAATAAGGTGATAAAAAATGAGAAAAAAAAATTTATCAAATGATGAGATTCTAAAAGTATTTCGAGTAGAGATGCTTTAAAAAATCTATAGATGAGAAGATGTTTTAAATATTACCAGTATATTGAAATATTTATAGAAAATTTCAATATAATAA